CAGGGCAGCATGACTGATGCAGAACAGGATATTTCTGATGCCTGGAGGCTGAAGTCACTTGAACGAGAGACATTCTCCCTGCTTTTCAACAGTGGACAAATAAGTTCTGAGAACAGGAGGGTTCACTTTGGTCACTTCTGGTGATCCCAAACGACCAAGCTCAGATGCACACTCAGTTCTGGACAGCTGAAAACACCGGGAGGATACCCCACACTACCTACAAAGGTTAACCCCCAATGGATCAAAGATCTAAATGTAAGAGCTGAGACTTTAAAACTCTTGGAAGAAAGCATAGACGTAAGTTTTTGTGACCTTAGACTAGGCCACGGTTTCTTAAAAGTAACACCAAAACACAAATGGCAAAAAAAGACAGACTGGACGTCACCAATATTAAAAGCTTTTGTGCACCAAAGGACACCAGGAAGAATGCGAAAAAACCACCCAGAGTGGGAGAAAAACTGTGCAAATCCTATATCTGATAAGGGACTTGTATCTAGAATGCAAAGAACTCTTACAACTCAATAGTAAAAAGGCAAACGACCCAATTTAAAAATGGGCAAAGGATCTGAACAGGTATTTCTCCAAAGAAGATACACTAAAAGTGGCCAACACGCACGTGAAGAAGATGCTCACCATCATTAGCCTGTAGGGAAATGCAAATCAGAACCACAGAAAGACAACACTTTATGTCCACGAGAATGACTGTCATAAGAAAGATGAGTAATAATGAGTGTTGTCTAGGATGTGGAAATTGGAACCCTCATACACTGCTGCTGGGGATATAAAATGGTGCAGCCACCCCGGAAAGCAGTCTAGCAGTTCCTCGAAATGTTAACAGAGTTACCCTATGGCCCAGCAGTTCCACTCCTAGATAGATATATAGATATAGACCTAGAAGTAGATGTATAGATAGAGATGGAGGAAAGCTATGTCCACATAGAACTTGTACCTGAGTGTTCATAGGAGCGTTACTCATCATAGCCCCAGAATGGAAACAACCCAACTGTCTATCAACTGTTGAAAAATAAAATGTGGTAGCAGAGGATTTGGAAGAGAACCAGGTCCTGATACATTCTCCAACATGAATGAACCTTAAAAACATCATGCTAAGCGAAAAAAAGCCAGTTACAAAGGATAACATTTTATAAGATGCCATTTATACAAAATGCTCAGAATAGGCAAATCTATTTTTGTCATAGGCAAACCTATAACAGAAAGTAGGGAAGTGGTTGCATAGTGCTTGGTATGGGGGGGAGGGGGTACCGCTAGTGGGTCTAAGGTTACTTTTGGGGGTAAAGAAAATGTTCTAAAATTGGTTGTGGTGAGAGGGGAGGGTAGAGCTCAGTGGCAGAGTGCCTGCTTAGCATGTGTGAAGTCCTAGGTTCAATCCCCAGTGCCTCCCTCAAAAAAAAAAAACAAAAAAACCCTAAATAAACCTAATTACCTCCCTCGCAAAATTTAAAATAAAAAATTGGTTGTGGGGAAGGTAAAAACTGAGTAAACTAAAAACCATTAAACTGTATATTTTAAAAGGGTGTATTGTACGGCATGTGACATATCTTCTTTTTTTTTTTTTAGTTGAGTGAAAGATTCTTTAAACTCTATAGTTTACAGTTTTAAAAAGCTTCACATAATCCCATAATAACCCTCTTTTTCTGCCCCCATACTTCCCCTCCCCCTTTTCTCTCCCCACTAGTAACCTCTAGTTTGATTTTCGGTATCTGTGTCTGCTTCTTTTTCATATTATTCACTAGTTTGCTTATTTTTTAGATTCCACATGTAAGTGATATCATATGGTATTTGTCTTTCTGTCTAAATTATTTCACTTAGCATAATGCCGTCCAAGTCCACCCACGTTGCTGCAAATGGCAAAACTGCATTCTTTTTTATGGCCAAGAAGTATTCCATTGTATATACATATCACATCTTCTTTATGCAACTATCTGTTGATGGACACTTAGGTTGCTTCCATTACTTGGTGATTCTAAATAGTGCTGCTATGAACATTGGAGTGCAAGTATCTTTTTGAATTAGCATTTTTGGGTTTTTTGGATATATACCCAGGGGTGGAATTGCTGGGTCATATGGTAGTTCTATTAGTGACTTATATCTCTTATATCTTAAATAAAGCACTTATCCGTATTTTTAAAAAGCACAGGTGGATGGATAGACAGCAAAAGGGAAGGAGTTTGGGGGGGTTGATGGAAATATTCTAAATATTGATTGTGGTGATGGTTCCTGAGGTGTATAAATTTGTCATACCTCATCAAAATGTGTGATGTAAATTAATCTTCAATAAAGTTGATTTTAAAAAAAAGACAGTGGAGAAGGCAGGAAGAAGCTATCCGATGAGCACTGGCAGGACCCAAGGCCAGTAGGCTGCAAAGGGCAGGCCTCTCCGTTCTCCAGCATAAATAACTCTGAGAGAACCCGGGAACTCCTGACCTCTATTTGCAAAGGGATCCTCCACCCCTCTTCCTGGTTCTCTTAGCCACCCTGGAACACCCAGCATTTCATCCTAAGCTAGCTCCTCCAGACCCAACTTGCCTCCCCTGGCCAATTGCCAGCTCTAATCAACACCTCCTCAGCCCCCATCACCCTGTAATTGGGGCCAGGAGATGCATGCACATTGCATCTCTCGTGCCAACTGCTGCTTCCTTTACCGATAAGGCTGGCAGGGGTGGAGCAGGTGCTGCCCAGAGCAGAGATCGAGAGCTCCCTAGCTCCACCCCTAAGGCAACGGTTTTCTCCCACAGCCAAGGCACGTGCCTGCAGGGAGTAGAGCTGAGGAGCCCGGGGAAGCCAGGAATGACCCTGACCCTGACCAAGCACTGCTAACTCTCATAGCGCCCCAATGGAATAGGCATTCTTCTTCTTCCCATTTTGCAGACCGGGCAGTTGAAGCTAGATGTTTTCAGGAACTCGCCAATGTCACCCAGCTGATAAAAGTGGTGGAAGCTGGGATTCTCACCCATGCTGGCCTTCCTCCAAAGCCTGTTCCACAACAAGGAGGTTGGAGGAAGAGGATAAGGAGGAAGGGGAAGGGCCAAACTCCACATCCATCCAGCTCTTTAGGCTGAGCCTGTCAGGACAGCTCTCTCCTTCCCAGAAAAGAAAGATACCTATCAGACCGTTAGAGCTTCTCGAATCGCAGACACCAGGAGGGACAACTCCCTGCCTCCAGGCAGCTGCAGGCAGCTGGGGAAGTGGCTACTGCTCCCAGGGATTCTTCAAATTCCCACTCCCGAATTCAGGGCCCCTCACTCAAAGCCAAGGTGATTGAAATGGAAAACAGGGACCCTCCACAAGACTGGAGCCTAGAGGAAACGCGGCTATTAACTTTGTACAAATGGTGACTTGAAGACCTGGGGGATCAAAAGTCCTGAAAAAGGAGGAGTGCACCCTCCTTTACATTCAAATCCACCTTGCAGGCTCTCCTTTAGCCACAGTAAGACATCTCTCATCCAGCTAGCTGCTCCGGACCTGAGGCTACCAAAGGCTTAGGACTCAGAGGATCAGTCCCAGGATCCAGATGCCCTGCAGACACCTGGCGTTTAGCGAAGACTGATTTAAATGAATGAGGTAGAGGTCAAGAAGTGGGGTGGGTATAGCTCAGTGGCAGAGCACATGCACGCTGTCCTGGGTTCAGTTCCCCAGAACCTCCATTAAAAATAATAAGTAAATAAATACATAAATAAATAAATCTAATTACTTTCCCCCAACAAAAAAATAAGTGGGGCTCTCCAACCCCCTGCAGAGTGCTGCGTTGTGAACAGACCGGCTTTCTGTCCACTTGGCTACCTGTCCTTTGCCAGAGTCCACCTTCTGCTTCTGCTGCCCTCGCCAGCCCCACTGGCCCCTTCTCGGGCTTACCTGAGCACAAGCTGGAATAGAAGCCCTCCTTCTTCAGCATGATCAGGAGGGAGCTCCAGCCCAGGAGCACCGCAGAAAAGAAGAGGTTCTCCAGCACTGCGGTGCACGCCATCCACCAGCGTCTCTGGTATGCCTCCTGCAGCGTGGGGGCCATGCTGGCCACGAGCCTGCACAGGAATAGGGGATTGAAGGAAGGGTCCAGTGAACCCGGAGGAATGCCTGGCATCATGGTGGCCCCTGAGACCCTTCGAGCCAGCCCTCAAAGGGGACTTCATGGAGGCCTCGCAAAGTCCTGGGCTTCCCAGTGGGTGCAGCCTAGCTGGCTCTGGGAGTCCTGGCAGTGCCAGGGGTGCACGTGGCATTGTGCTCCCGCCGTGTCACTAACAGAGACAAGAAAGGTCCTGTCTGCGCGCAACAGACTGCTGGCGCGCTGCCAGGATCTTCCACTCAGGCCACGGCGCGCAAAGCCCGGTTGTTGAGCGGAGCGGGGGTGGCAAACCCGCACTTCCTCAAGTTCCAAAGGTCAGCAAGGGGCAGAGCGCGCTCTGAAGCCACCGCTGGCCAGTATCCGGCCTCCCGCGCCAGGAAGGACCCCCCAGAAGCAAGCAGGAGGAGGAAGGGGAAGTCTGATGCTAGCCTAAGGACCCCCCCCACCATTTCCTGTTGCCCCTATAGGACCACTCCTCTCCTCTGGGGCCGGGCGACAGCAAGTTCTCCCCCTTTCCGCACCAGGCGACCCAAGTCCCTGAAGTCTCTCAGTCCAAGGGAACAGCTGCCACGTGGAAGGAGACCCAGGCGGGCCCTCCAGCGCCGCCGGCGCCACCCACTCCCTCCCTGGGGCCCCGGGCACCATACTGCGCGCCTAGGAAGCAGCCCTCCCTCTCCTGCCCGCGGAGGGTGCTCGGGCTTCAGCAGGAAGTCCGGCGACAGCTGGCTTTATAAGGGCAGCGGCGGCGGATGGGCTTGCGGGCCGGGGTGTTTACCAGAAGGAGGGAATGAGCGCCCGGGCCGCGGCCACAGCCGCCACCGCGGGAGGAGACTGGACCCGGGGCGGGGCGGGGGCGGAAAGCAGCTAGAGGGGTGAGACCAAGAAACGCAGAGAGGAGACGGACCAGAAGGGCAACAGAGAAAGGGCGAGAGGGAGCGGAGGAAAGTACCTCGGGAGTGCCTTCGCCCGAGAGGTTCAGTAATCCCATCTGGGAAATGGGGCTTTGCATTCCGGAGTTCCCGCAGGTCCGTTCGAACTCTGGCAGGAGTGTTGCTCCAAACAGAGGCAGTGCAGCAAGAGGGGGCCGGGAGGTGCAGGGGAGTCGGAGGGGCCAGACTAAAGGGGAGGCAGGGACGCGCTTGGAGAGGCGGGACCCGAGGGCTCAGGTAACGGGTTTCTCCTGGGGAGCCTGGGATTGTCGGTGGGAGCCGGCCCGGGTGGTTCTCAGCGACGCGCAGCCAGGGACCCCCAACCACGCTCGCAGCTCACCTCTGATCGGGGCAAATTCGCCTTCTGCAGCCGCGCACCCTCGCGGGAGCGCAGCGCCTTAGCGGCGGGTGCACACTCTCGGCCTCCGGTGTCAGGGGTGCCCAGCTGGGAACCGCAGCCGCGCTCCGGGCTTCTCCGCGCGCCAGGTCCGGGCGGCCTCGGAGATTCAGCCAGACAGCCTGGTGTTCTCACCTCCCCTGACCCATCCGAAGTCAAGGAACGGGAACCCGCCAGGCGCCACCAATCCGCGAAGTGAGGCTAGGACGAGACAGATCGACGGCGTTCGTAGCTGTATTTACACCCCTCCCGGGCTGCGTCCTGAGGTAGGGGCGGGGGCTCTCTTGCCTTCCCCTCCTCCTAGTTCAAGTTTCACGCGCACGTGACTCGCCTTTTGGGCCCCGGCACACGCCCCTGCCCCTAAAATTTCTACCCTTACTTCCTCCCCTCTCCCTCAGCCCCCAAGACGAATCGGGCAGCGCCCTCCGTATCCTTGGTCAAAACAAAGAACTGGCTGGAGCAGACTGACCGCTTTGCAGGGCAGGCTTGGGTGGGGTGTTGAACTGTGCATTTGGGGGTCGTGTTTTCCGAGAGGCAGAACGACACGGGTTTCTTTGTAGTCAGCTCGAGGTCTGAGCGTCGACTTGAAAACTGACTGGCCTGGGTTACACTGGACAAGTTGCTTAACCTCTCTGAGCCTCGATTTCCTCCTGTTAATTCTCATCACAGTAGTATCTACCTTACAAGAGTACCTACAGTTGTAGTGCGGGGAGACGGGGGGGGGGGGAATTGGGGATTATGATGCAGATAAAATGCTCAGCAAGACGGCACTTGGCACAGAGTAAGCA